ATATACGAATATATCTATCTCATTGTGTTCATATCTATCTATCTATCTCTTTTTGTTCATATATATATATATATATCTCACTGTGTTCATATCTATCTATCTAATTTTATCCTTATCGCTCATTTTGTTTATATTTTTGTTTATATCTATCTATATATATATATATATATATATATATATATATATATATATATATATATATATATATATAATAATCGACTCTCCCGTCGAGATTCGACGTATGAGGGTCAAGCAGATCAGTTTCAGGAAACCGACAGCCCGACACCGGCACATGAGATTTGATTATAGTGGTGAAGGCCTCGTGCAGGGCCATCCACACTTTTTGAAGGGACGGATACAGAGACCTGGTGCACCGAATGCCACAAGGTTCCGCAGGTTTTGAATTCAGAGTTGTCCTTTTCCTAGACCAGTTGCCATCCAAGGCTATAGAACCCAGTCTGTTCTGCTATTTCACCCATAGCTGGGGGAGAGGAAGAGGATTCATTCCTCAATCCAAGCCGCTATCCATTACTCCACCGTGTCTCCTATATATATATATATATATATATATATATATATATATATATTTCTTTTCGTTCATATGTATCAATATATGTATCTCTCATTTTGTTCATATCTAATTTATCTATCTATCTAATCTATCACGTTTTTTGTTCATATATATGAATATATCTCATTGTGTTCACATCTCTCTAATTTTATCCATATCTATTTCAATTTGTTTATATCTATATATATATATATATATATATATATATATATATATATCTTTTGTTCATATATATCAATATATGTATCTCTCTCACTGCTCATATCTATCTCATTTTTTTCATATCTATCTATCTATCTATCTATCTATCTAGTACATACATGTTCCCTCAAATGTATGCTGCTAAAATGACAAACAATACATAGGCATACACCTACCGTGCATAATTTGCTTTAAGCGTGAGCAACATTCTTTACAACACTTTATTTTCTACGATTTTACACAGCTATGATATCCACACAGCCACAAACAGCTAAAGAAGCGTAGATCGCAACAAACGAATAGAGTAACTTGGACACATTCACAAGACTTTAAATTACAAAGAGAAAGCAGATAAAACGAACAATAATTCAGTCGAAAAAATTCGAAAAACGTCGGAAAACATCTTAAAGGGTGATTAAAAAGAAAATAAACGGAAGAGGAGGAGACTTATCACATCTATTATCGGTGACATTTTAAAGAGAGAAGTGAACGAGCTTTGCGGTGTCCTGTGACAAATGACCCGTTACTCGAAAATACACCATTGTTTATTACTTAATCGACTACTATTGTTTTGCTTTTTGTTCTTTGTTTTTGTTTTTCCCGGGAAGAATTATCGAAAAAATATGAAAAGAGAATGGAACTGAACTACAACAGAAGAAAACTAAAAAAAAAAAAAAAAAATGGCGGTAATAAAGCGAGAATTTGAAGAAAAAAAAGAAAAAAAAAAAGAAATGTTTAATTTTTGTCACGAACACAGAAGAAGAGAGCCGCAAATGACAATGAGTTAGAGACACGCCGGTAAAATATATTCATGAAGAGGAAGTAATTACACACACGCACACACACACACACACACACACACATATATATATATATATATATATATATATATATATATATATATATATATATATATATATATATATATAAGTATAAGGGATAACGATATATATGTTTTTAGATACCAAGAAAGATACAGAAGAAAGGTCTATGACGAATTAAAAGAAAGTTTTCGTGTGACGCGTTTCGTCCCTATGGACATCTTAGGACTAAGTTTGTTTACGTTGATCTGACTACACATGCGTACAAACAAGTGTACACTAAGAATTTTAAATTTTGACAATATCTTTTCATTTTTGTTTTTTTAATCGTGTGTTTTGGGTATTTAATCTATCCAATTTCATTTGGATTCTTTTTCGTCCTGTTTACGTCATCTTTTCTCATTAAATACCCTACATTGTGACAATAGACGATCTGCTAGCAATAGTGAAATATAGGAACCTGGACACAAATTTACTCTGGCTGATCTAGTGATTAAAGCATTCTCTAAACATTTTCGTCTGAGCGAATTATTTTCTCTTTTAATTAGAATAGCATTTTTAATGTCGAACTTGGGGTCAGTCTTGTTGCCGTGAACAACAAATCTATTTTGTGTATTGTTTTTTAAAATGTGTTTTAGCTTAGAAAATGTTACTGAATGAGGAATAACCAAAACGGAGGTTGGAAATGAAATGGTAATCTTTATATCATCAACAAAATATAATACACGCCAGCGGCGTGGAGTAGGTAAACCACGGCTAGTGGTGGACTACTTAGATAGCATATTAACCCAACTGACAATAGTGTCCAACGTATTTATGAGGATTGGGACACACATATTATTGTTCATAGGTATGGTATATAACAAAATGCCTCTTTTGTTTTCATTTAATCTCTTATTTAAACTTCTTGTGATTTCACCAATACACACACACACACACACACACATATATATATATATATATATATATATATATAATCGACTCTCACGTCGCGTTCGACGTATGAGGGTCAGGCCGATAAGTCCCAAGGAAACCGACATCGGCACATGAGATTTGTTTATAGTGGTGAAGGCCTTGTGCAGGACCAGCCACACTTTTTGGAGGGACAAATACAGAAACCTGGTGCACCGAATGCATGCCACAAGGTTCCCAAACGACCCTCCGCAGGTTTTGAATTCAGAGTTCTCCTTCTCCTAGACCAGTTGCCATCCAAGGCTATAGAACCCAGTCTGTCCTGCTATTTTACCCATAGCTGGAGGGAGATGAAGAGGATACATACCTTTCCCACGTAAGTGAATGCAGTGGATTCGACTGGAATTCGAACTCGGCTCTGCGATTCCTCAATCCAAGCCGCTATTCACTGCTCCACCGTGCCTCCTTATATATATATACATATATATATTTATTTATTTAAAAATATGATTTAGATAAATAATTATATTTATGCTCTACTTTTTGTATCGAGCACTATTTTTTAAAAATGATAAAAAAAGAATACTTAAGAACTTTGGCTTATTTACCTAACGAGTTCTTTCCTATTTTCTATATATTTTACACACACACACACACACACATATATATATATATATATATATATATATATATATATATATATATATATATATATATATATATATATTGTACACTTAATAAGCAATGATCAAAAAGGCTGCTATGCTTCGCATACTCAAATACGAGTCTACACTAAAAATAACCTATGAAGTAATAAAGATATGAAAACATCCATACGCATCTATAGACAGTGATGTACATATATATTCGATGTCAAAGGACAGAATCGCAATTGAGGAAAATTATTACTGTTGTGTAATTTTTGTGCTCCCAAATCACGGTGAAAGGCAGAAAAACCTCCTCCGAGATGTAGAAAAAATTTGAAGCAACAGAAGGATGGTGAGAATATTGTAACACGGACGTCGCTTTGGTTGAGCATGGATAAAGGTTAGTAACTTGAGGTCGTGAGGGAGTTGATAACTAAACAAAGGATTAGAGAAAGTCAGAGAAAAACATGGGAGGGTAGTTAATTGGACTTGAATCTGATAAAAAAAAAGTCTCGTTTAAAATATTAATTTTAACCAATAAAACAGGGGTCGGCAACATTTTTGCAAACTATGTGCTGACTTAGGGTTTTAAAATCATTTTACTGTGCCAACTTCATACGTATTTTTATACAATTCAAGGTCAATATGCCTGTTCCACAATATATTTTATATAGTAATATATAATATATTTGGTTGGATAGATGTGAGTTTGTGACCCTGGGTTTCACGCTTTAGCGATCGTCAGACAAACTGATTAATGTTTTAAAAAATTGGGGTTTATGTAGATTGCGTGTATTGGTGTTATTGTGGAAGTGGTGGGGGAAATTTCGTCGTTTTGTCATTCATCGTACTAACGCAAACATCGATATATGCAGACACATATACATACTTGGTCGTCCGTCGGGACTCATACATATATAAACGTATGTGGGCAGTTTCGGCTATGACACATGTATGTATACGGGTGGTGCCATTTCCGGATCCGTGCCATTTGAAATCGTCTGGCGTGACAAGTGCGTTACGCGTGTCGTAGGTTGCCGAGCCCTGCTATAAAATATTTATGAGAAGGGCCTCGGAAAAGGTTGAAAAATTAAACTAAGCAAGATTAAGTTTCGGTATAGTTGACGCCACGGTCGAACTTCAAATGCGCATGTAAGTTGGAATGACATAACTAATGAGTTGCCAAATGTTAGATCGCTCAAGAGTTTCTTT